AGAAGCTGTAACTACTTTAGCCAACGTAGTAAAAGGACATGAAGCAGAATCATGACTTGTAGATGATGATATCCATAAATCAACCGAAGCATCTTTCACCACATCAGCATTCACAACGCTTGACGAAATATTTGATCCGAAAACATAATCAGACAGAATGTCTTTCTTAGCTATAGCAGGACTTGATAGAAAGGTAGGTGACTTAGTTAATTCTTTTGATGCTTCGAGTGATGAAACGGAAGCCTCTGTGAGGGAAACAGTTATCTCACCTAATAATCTATGAATAAGCTGTCCTACTACTTTCATGTGGTAATAAACTTTCTGTTTATTCATGTTCAGTACGGACATGGCCTACAAACCTAATGCTGCCTAACTGAACAATCAACATGAATGTCGGTATACATAAAAACGATGTGGGTTTTCTGTGACATTATAGCATACATCTGAACTAGTGTGATTACTAATATTCAAAGTCGTGCTTCTTGTTTTTTAAACCGGTTGTACATATAAACGTTAAGCTTAGAAATAACTGCATAACCGGTTTTCGCAAAAAGACTCTCCAACAAATCATGTCGATAATCACAAAATTCTGATCTGTTGTACTTGTAATGTGAGCAAAGAAAATGATGCAAATGAATCGACATATACGAAGTCGTTCAGGTTATTTTCGACTCGCCAACGTAAACATTAATACGAATACTGTCGGTTCACTGACTGAAAGGATTTATCAATACATGAAATATTGTTTCTTCGCGGCTTTTACCTGACAGGTGATTTCAGTACATATATTGACTTATATACTTAACGATTCTTGACTTATCCAGTCTAATTGATGTTCTGAATACAACCATTTGTTTGAATCATCATTTTCAGCAGTTGGGAAAAACTGCTGCAAACTAGAAAATACAATGAAACACCTAACCAATACTGACTACATTTAGTATAATTATCACTGAAATACTGTTTGACTCAGTTTCTTAGTTCATCAAGCGGATTAATATATAGCGCCATCACATCAACTGACATCATGTGACAGCATCACTGTAACATAGTTACGCTTCCTGAAAACATTATGTCACCATTCTAAGTAACTGAATCACTTCTTGACGACAACTATTTCCATGCAATTTAATAGAGTATAAATCTTCCCGCTAACCTTGCAGTGAAGAAAAATGTACAAACCTGTCTATCAGTTAGTGGTGAATCAAACAGGTTGATTCTAAGACTGACACTTAAATCAGCCATTGACAAAACATAGTACGCAGATAAACTGGTTATAATTGAAGGAACTAATCCTATGATTCTACATATGCCTAGATACTGAACTAGTGAATACATCATATCCCATTGCATTTATCAGTTTTCATGTTAGTGTCGACAAACACACACAGGGAGGAGCGATTGCACTATGTAATCAAAAGTGAAGGAACGTGTAAATAGGACAAAATCAGCTGATAATAAATGACTTAATAAACGAGAGAAATCGAAAACTGAGTTCATGAGCATCAAAACACATAACCGAAACAGGGCATTGGTCTTACATCAATACAGCTTTTAAGACTCTGTATAGAAATATTCAGGGATGGATTCTTAGGTTTATAGAAGCCAGGTCTATTCGCAAAGTAAAACTCCTCTCATGTATGCCAAAACAATTTGCCGTAAACTTAAATTTACCCAGCTAATCTCGAAGCCATCTTATTACCTAGGGTAAAGTAACAGTGTTCTATTCTTTCGATATTATGTTACTTAAAATTATCACCTTACGTATTTCTGAACATTTATTTAGTTTTCCTTCATAACGTTTCATATAACTTGCAGTTACAATTGTATATGTGCGGCCAGATTGTTTAAAATATTCTGAGTAAATCAACCACATTTTTCAGATTAACTCTGTTTTATCACTGTATTATCATTATTTATTATTGTCATCATAGATCACTTTACATTGCAACAACCTATAAGTCATTTGTAAACACAGTGGAAAAAATCCTATCTTCATACAACTATGATAGTATATGAGCACGTGGAAAACAAGCGAAATACCTTATCTGTTAGAAGTTACATGTGAAAAGACGTTTCTGAATATTTGACTAGTTGTTATTTTGACTTAGTAAACTTCAACTTTTATTTCGAACTGATAATTAATTGAGTTAATTATTTCTAAACTGGCTAAAATTAAGAAAGTACACAAGGATGGGGAGAAATAATTATTGTGGTGGTGTTTCGTTCCCTGAGCTGGATATTTTGGTTGTGAAGCTCTCATTTTTCTTCTACTGAACAACATCGTCAGCACAAACCTCAGATGGAAGTGTGATTAGAAGTTTGTGCTGATGATGTTGTTCAGAAGAACAATGAAAGCTTCACAACCAAAATATCCAGCTAAGAGAACGAAACACCACCACAATCATTCACCTGAGCTACAAATTTTCTCCACCATCACAGACCTTGGCAGTAAGCCAACTATTTATTTTCACTAGTAATGTTTGAGGGCCAGTCAAAAAATTCCCGCTCCGTAAAGCAAATTTGACTGTTTGGAATAGTTATAATACAGATGTATCATACTACTGATAGTAAGTAGGGCAAAAAGTGACTTCAAGGCTATTAGACCACTAAAATTAAGGAATTAGAACATACCAGCACATAATGAAACATTGATATATATATATATATATATATATATATATATATTTATATATATATAATCACATAATTAAATGAGAAAGATAGAGAATGTCGCCAAAGTGAAATAGAAGCGTAAGTGTATCCATCGGTTTTACGTGGTTTATATATTTTCAAGGATTTCCGATAGGTTCTATCTACATTTTAAGACAGATTTATGCCAAACACTTATTTGCTAAAGAATTCAACAAATACTTAAGTCTGTTGTCCAGTTCATATGTAACTTTACATACTATTTCTCATAATGTTCACAACATTTGTGCCTGGAGTACTTAACAAGTAAATGAAATGATTTTGAGATGATATAGAAAACTTGAAACTCAAGATGATAATTTCAATAAATATTCATTCTCTGAACTAGATAGTTTAATCGTAGAGTATTCATTGCTTTCTGTACAGTATCAACACAAACTTCAGGTACAAGTGATGTGTATTCATAATTTCTCTCCACACATAACTCACATCTTGCCTTGTCGATTTCAATTAGTTTTTGCTGACCTTTAACCTGTTATTATCTCCTTTAGATATAAATAAAATCAAAGAGGGAATTATGATGAAAATAACAAGGCAGATAACGGTGTAGGTAGGTTAAAGGTCATTCAATAACAACTAACATTATTAAGATGAGATTTGAGTCATATGTGAAGAAATTCTAGAAACTGGTGTAGTTTAGGATAATGAAGAAAAAAAAACTCCACAAAACAAATGAAAAATTTTTATTAAATCAAGTGTCTATCTATAATCATACGATCTAATTTTATTCATTCAATCAAAAGAAATAAGAAAGGTTTTTTAAATGACCCGCATTAATTAGAATGGTTTTGTGTGATGTGGCCTACGATGCTCTGCAGGACAGATTAATGAAAGTAATTAGTAGAACATTCAGCGCAGCTAAACTTGCATTGACCTTCTCAAGTCGACCAGTGATGACTACTACTCAAACGAAGGATAAGTTAACTGAGTTGGCCTCCTCTATGTGCATTTACAAATTCAGCTGCTCCTGTGGAGATAGCTATATTGGGTGTACTACCAGGCAATTTAACCAACGAATGAGTGAACATCTCCTAGCATGGTTTAAGAAGGGTCAGTCAAAAATAATACGCAGTTCAATCTTAGCAAATCTGGTTGATAGCGGTCATATTATAGATAAGTATAGGTCTTTTCGCTGGTGATCTATCGTATACCTCAGTCATTTCCCAACGGAGTTCGATCCCATCTCCTACACACATAGCAGAAGCCATAGGAATTCGTACATTCAACCCCAATTTATGTGTTCAGAAGAAATTCGTGACACCCCTATCTCTTCCGTGGCCAGATATGACGTAACTAAGGATTTAAATTTATTGATAAAACTTTTGTTATCGTATTTTATTTTTCTTACTACTATCAATACACCTGTCTTCCTACTATCAACTTGTACTTTTGCCTTTTATGTGTAGTGACGTAATCTATTTCATTTGATTGTGATTATTGACTCGAATTGCCTTGATTGGTTAGAACATTTTCATATATAAATATTCATGTATATTAGAGAGAGTAAAGCCTGGTGACGATTTAATCGAAAACAACACTGTTGTTCGCTTATTATCTGTGTTGTTCTCATTTCGCCTTAATCTCATGTCACATTTACTGTACAAAGTCATGAATAATGTTCTCTTACCAGCATCTAAGAGTGATATATATATAATGATTTTTTAATGAACGCAAAGCAAGGGTTGCATTTCTACAGTTGAAAAATATCTGGAACTCAAAACAACATTCAGCCAAAACCCAAATCAGGATTTTCCATACAAATGTCAAGACAGTTCTACTGTATGGAGCGGAAACTTGCAGAACTACCAAAGCCATCATCTAGAAGATACAAGAATTCGCTTACAGTTGTCTATGCAAAATACTTCGGATTCGTTGACCAAACACAATCAACAACAACTTACCGTGGAAGAGAACAAACCAGATTCCATTGGAAGAGGAAATCAGGAAGAAGCGGTGGAAGTGGATAGGACACACACTACGAAAAGCACCTAACTGCGTCACAAGACAAGCCCTCACATGGAACCCTCAAGGCAAAAGGAAAAGAGGAAGGCCAAAGAACGCACTACGCCGAGAAATAAAGAAAGATATAAGAGGAATGAACAAACATTGGACAGAACTGGAGAAGGAAGCCCAGGAAAGAGTTGGTTGGTGAAAACTGGTGGTTGGCCTATGCTCCATTAGGGGGTAACAGGCCTAAGTAAGTAAGTAAATAGTGAAAGCCATGAGATCGTTGAAGTCTATTTCGAAATTAGACAGTAGCTTAAAAAAAGACCATTCAATGAAGAGGCTGAAAATGAGAGTAGAAGACGAGATTAAATAGTGACTGAAAACATTTCTTTTTACTTTATACAACAATATGATTATGAAGTATACAGTAGAAACAGTACAGTTAGAAAGTTTTGAAAAAGTAGAAAAATGAAAGAAGATTAACATTATTACACATAAACACTTTTTAATTAAAAGAAAAATTTATGGTCTATAAATAAATTGTCCATTCCATAGACGTCGTTTCAATTCAGACCATAATAGTTGACGTTCTCTAAGAGTACAATTTAATACGGAACCATTTTCTAGAGCACGTCTAGATAAATATGGTAGAACTTCTTCTACAGGACCATATGGAACATATTTATATACAGAATAACCAGCTTGACCTGGAAATTTATAAAAATAAAATTAATGATTTCATTACATGTCAACACTTTAACTGAATAATCATCAATGGAGAAACTATAAAAATATACAATCACAACCAATCAAGACTGAAGTCAATAGTATATATAGGCTACAAGTCATACTATGTGGAGAAATTTGAATAATTCTCTGCTCTACATGAAGTTTGTACTGATGATGATGATGATGATGTTGTTGTGTCCGGAGAAGAACATTGATGATAGCTCCACAATCAAAACATCCTCAGCTCGGAGAACGAAAAATCTCTATCAGAATCATCATCCACATGAGCTAGAGATTTCCTCTACCATGTCAAAATACAACTTATCAACAAAACACATATGAGATCATATCAGAAGTTGGATTCAGTAATGACTATTGATTTGCCTTAGCTTGAAAAACGATCGCAATAGTTACATTATATCCGTTGTACATCTTATTGACTTTAACAACCGAGTAAGCAATACTGTCGTTAAGAAAACAAGTTCTACGTAGGGATGGCAGATCAATAATTGAAGTATTGAAACTTCATCAGTTGAAGTGGTTGGGACATGTGTTACAAATGACTAATCACCGACTCTCTCGACGAGTTATGTTTTGTGGTGTAGAAGTAGGTTAAAAGAAAGCTAGGAGAGGCCAAAAGAAAACACGGCTTAAATCCATAACATCACTGACAAGTGAATAGAGTCATATTGGTAGATGTAGACTACCTGTTTGGGGTCCGCGAGATGACAGTGGTAACCAATGGTTAGAGACCTTGAATTACATGGCTCAAAACCGTTTGCAATGGCGCAGGTGCATTCATCCATTGTGTTCTTTCAAATCCTAATCTTCTGAATTCCTCAACACCATTATATTTTTATTTCTAAAGTTATCTCACGGAATTATATTTCTCAAATCATATCTTCACTCCCTAATCTTCTCCGTTATTGCTAATACTTCTACTATCTCTACCTCCACGGGATTTGAACTCTCACTTGCTTCTCTGTGCTAATGTGGTATGGCAACCTGAACTTATGTACTATTCATGTACAAAGTTCTACGTTGTAACTTAGTGACTGGCTATTTATGTTACATTGATATGCCCCGTTACAAATCACAATCTACTGTATTAATGGTGGTTGATTTTTAACGGAGCACAGATAAGAGATAAAGCTGAGAATAATCAACAATCACAACTATCAAAATATCTTAAATCATCAATCAATCATTGTTAGACTACCATTAGGAACATGGAAGCACTGGACGGCCGTTTCGTCCTCGTATGGGACTCATCAGCAGTGCGCATCCACGACTCCTGCTCCTCGCAGGATTCGAACCCAGGACCTTCGGTATTGTGCGCGAACGCCTAAACATCGGACCACTGCGCCGGCATACAACGGTGTTAATGTCTAACTCTGATTGATCTACGGAGTTTTGTGCGACCTCACCCATTTGTCTTTGGTAGTTACTGCCTACACCCGACAGGGTTGAACTCCATTAGTCATGTCTTCACAGCTAGAACTCCGAGAATTTCCTCACGAAGCTAGTCACTAGTGAGCACTGTTACGGCCATCCAGTGCTTCCAGGTTTCTAATGGTGGTCTAACAATGATTGATTGATGATTTCAAATATGTAAAAACACAAAACCTTCAAAACTCTGCCCGAAAATATCAAAATATTGACAGCAGATTTATTCATCGACTCATTGGCATTTAAATATTACCCTTAAACACTTGGAATTTACACAGAAGATTTAAAAATTTAAATAAAAAAGGAACGCCGATCTGTGTTTGGCCCCGACCGTAGCTGCTACCTTGACGTGGTAGTCGGATTTGCCTATCGTGGTGACCCAACCAAGCTGGAACATATGTTTCTACAGGTCCTACCATGCCAGGCAGGTCGATTGGAGAACGATGAGACTAAAAGCAACTATTCAAGGTCTGAGGGTGAAGTCGTACTGTTGACTTCAGAGAGGTGTGACAGCAGTAAGGTGTTTCCCTCGGACAACCAACATCTGCAGCGATGCTGCCTTCTTACAAGGAAGAAATGGCTTAGAAAAGGTCGACTCTAAAAATGTCACACCTCACCCTACCTCACGGATTCCCGTCTCCGGCGGTAACGGTGATGCCCACTAAGGGCTTTCAAGAGAGGAGCTAATACTGAAAAATCCTTTGATGAAAAGGCCGTGCGTGACCGGCCTGAAGCAGTTGTTCCTTGGGCTCTGCAGTAACGCTACCAGGTCGTTGAGATCAACACTAATCTACCTTCCTTTTTTCAAGTTCCTCAAGAAACACCCTTCCACGGTGTGGTCAGCGAGGAAATGACATCCGCCCTCATATCCGTAACAGCACGCGAGGCCGAATTAATAACAAACAAATTTCCCACCTTGTTTGGCAAACAATTTTGTAAAAATTGTGAAAAGAAATACAAACAAACAATTAATGAACTTACTTAATGTAAAACTAATCTGATCACACATACCAAGCAATTGACCAAAACAAATAAGTCGATCATTAGGTGATACATTGTATTCATCCATTCTATATAAAGAAAAGCATAAATTTACACGAGAAATGGAGATGTGTTTTTTTAATGTAAATAGTGAAATACTGAGAAGAAAAAACACACACTGTTAAAATATTTTTTCAGTGTTTTAGTCAGTCATTCTCTGAGTTAACTGTATCACTAACAATTAGCTAACTATCTTATAACTGATCAGGATCATAATGATGAAATTCAGCTATGCTATTTGTGATGCCGTCGACCGATGCAGCTGTGGTTGCATTAGATGAGCTGGCCTGTGTGGAAGGAGAAATCTTCATGTCTGTTAACATCTGTATCAGTTATAAGATCATCCTCAACACTAACTATTTTCTTCTAAATGATCAGTAGATTAGTTGGTGGTAACTCCGGCTGAAGACCCTTCCGTGGCTACTGCTTGCCCCAAGCCTAGTTAGAGGAGGAGGAGTGAACATGGGGTTAGCGAGCTCATCCTTTAAAAAAACTTGCAAGAAAAAACACTAACCAGAAAACATAAGCACGATTAAACTATAATAGTCAGTCAGTCAGATGCAATGTAGAACTTCGTACATGAGAGTACATCAGTTCATGTTGACATACCACATCAACACAGAGACATCTAATTGTCGATTCAAATCCAATAGTAGAAGAGGTAGTAAAGATATTAGAAGTAATCGGAGAGGTTAGGATTAGAAGATATTATTCAAGTATTCAAGTATGATTCAGTGAGATAAGTTAGGAAAGACAAAACTAGAGGTGTTGAAGAATCCAGAAGATTAGGATTTGAGAGAACATAAAGAATAAATGCACCGGCGCCATTGCAAACGATTTTGAGCCATGTCATTCAAGGTCTCTAACCATCGATTATTATCATCTTGCGGACACCAAACAGGTAGTCGACAACTACTGACATCACTCAATCCACTTGTCAGTGACTTCATGGATTTTTCTACCCGTAACAGCACGAGAGACCAAATTGGTCGAAATCAAATCCTTCCTACACCAACGCACACCACTTTTCTCTTCACAACGAACTCTACTCACAGTCCCTTTTCTCACTGCACCGCTAATGCTTTCAAACAAGATTTTTTTTGCCCTAATTTACAACGAAGAAAATCGATTTTAGTCATAAGAAATTGAATAAATCTAATCTAACAAGTAAATATTGTAATCAGAACAGAAATTTCCTTCCTAAAAATAGTATACGACAGATTTCAATGTTCAATGGTATTCAATGTTACCAGTTATTCAATCATAGGAACAGGTCATAAATACCACAGAAAACACTAATGTTTTGACTGATTTAACATAATAAAAGAGCACATACTATTTTGTGTAAGTTGAAAGAGTAAATGATCTAGAAGCCTTGTTGATAAAAAAAGAAATGAGGTTAATTGATAATTGAACATAACAGTCAGTTCACATTGAATTATTCAGTGTTAAAGAATTTATAAGTTGTATAAGGTAAGGTCATGTATGCTGTTTTAACTTCTCCACATCAGACTACTGCTGCTTGATGGTAATAATCTAATCTTATCTAATTTCTGGATTAGGAGATAGAAATTTTCAATACGTATATTTGTCATTGGTGTATTCTCTCTTGTTTGCCGCATTCCGAACACGAAGGATGGTTATGTCTTTTGGAAGGATTGACTTATATATTTGGTACGAGATGTATGTTGTGACTATGTTAGACTCCATTTAGGGCTCACCATTTTAGTGACTCACAATATGACTCCATATTTACGAACTATCGAGTATGCGATGAAATATATCTCATCTTCACTTTCCGTATATCATCATACTTAGGCGAACCTCGTTTGCGTGACGGTGGTAATTTGAAGCCAAATACGGATTTAGTTGGATGAGTTTATTCCATGCGACCGCTCATGTATTCATTTAAGCCGGTAGACGAGAATGAACAGCATATATATATATATATATATATATATATATATATATATATATATATATATATATATATATATATATATATATATATATATAATGCTGTTCATTCTCATCTACCGGCTTAAATGAATGCATGAACGAGTGCTTGGAATAAACTCATCCAACTAAATCCGTATTTGGCTTCAAATTACCACCGTCACCCAAACGAGGTTCGCCTAAGTATGATGATATACGGAAAGTGAAGATGAGATATATTTCATCGCATACTCGATAGTTCGTAAATATGGAGTCATATTGTGAGCCACTAAAATGGTGAGCCCTAAATGGAGTCTAACATAGTCACAACATACATCTCGTACCAAATATATAAGTCAATCCTTCCAAAAGACTTAACCATCCTTCGTGTTCGGAATGAGGCAAACAAGAGAGAATACACCAATAACAAATATACGTATTGAAAATTTCTATCTCCTAATCCAGAAATTAGATGAGATTAGATTATTACCATCAAGCAGTAGTAGTCTGATGTGAAGAAGTTAAACAGCATACATGACCACCGTACACAACTTATAAATTCTTTAACACTGAATAATTCAATGTGAACTGACTGTTGTGTTCAATTATCAATTAACCTCATTTCTTTTTTTATCAACAAGGCTTCTAGATCATTTACTCTTTCAACTTACACGAAATAGTATGTGCTCTTTTATTATGTTAAATCAGTCAAAACATTAGTGTTTTTTTTGTAGTATTCATGACCTTTTGTATGATTGCATAACTTTAACATTGAATACCATTGAACATTGAACTCTGTCGTATACTATTTTTAGAAAGGAAATAAATTTCTGTTCTGATTACAATATTTACTTGTTAGATTAGATTTATTCAATTTCTTATGACTAAAATCGATTTTTTTCGTTGTATATTAAGGCAAAAAAAATCTTGTTTGAAAGCATTAGCGGTGGAGTGAGAATAGGGACTGTGAGTAGAGTTCGTTGTGGAGAGAAGAGAGGTGTGCGTTGGTGTAGGAAGGATTTGATTTCGACCAATTTGGTCTCGTGTGCTGTTAAGGGTATGAGGGCGGTTATAACTTCCCGGCTGACCACACCGTGGAAGGTTGTTTCTTGAGGGACCTGAAAATGAAGATAGGTTAGTGTTGGTCTCAACGACCTGGGAGCGTGACCGCAGAGTCCAAGGGACAACTGCTTCAGGCCGGTCACGCACGGCCTTTTTATGAGGTTTTTAATTTTTAACTCCGCTCTTAAAAGCCCTTAGTGGACACTGTTACCCAAGGAGACGGAAATCCGTGAGGTAGGATGAGTTGGGACATTTTTAGGGTCGACCTTTTCTAACCCTTCCTTCCTTGTGAGAAGGCAACATCGCTGCAGATGCTGGTTGTCCGAGGGAAACACCTTACTGCAGTCACACCCCTCTGCAGTCAGCAGTACGACTTCGCCCTTAGACCTTGAATAGTTGCTTTCAGTCCCATCGTTCTCCAACCGACCTGCCTGTCATGGTAGTAGAACCTTGAGGAACACATGTTCCAGCCAGTATAGCTCGGTTGGGTCATCACGACAGGCAAGCCCGACCACCACGTCACGGTAGCAGCATTAAATTATAAATAGAATAATCATTTTCGTTTCGAATTTGTTCAATATTCAATGTATAAGGAATGAATTTTAAGCTTTCTCAATACCGTATAATGTACTAAACAAGATAACGAGTTGTAAATAATAACTTCGAAACCATGCATGAATCAATGTTAAACGAGCCTAATCTGGAAGCATTGGACGGCCGTTTCGTCCTAGAGAATAGGTTTAATTAGCGGTGCATATCCACGACTCCTGCTACTCTCAAGGGTATCGAACCTAGGACTTTCAGTCTTGCGCACAAACCCCTAACCTCTAGACCACTGAGCCGGTGGCATCTAACGGTGCTTTATGACAAACTCTGATTAACCTAAGGATTTAAGGCAGCCACACTCAGATTGTCTTCGGGTAGTTATTGCCTACATCCGATAGGGTTAAAAGTAAAACTACGATCTCTATTATACTCTCACGCAAAACACCACCACATCTAGCATTTAATAACTACTTGCTTTTATTCAACATTTTTCTACTGAAAGTAGTATATTGCGAAAAAAAAGGCAACAATAAAAATGTTCTGTTTTTTTGCTTAAGTCAGTCAGTCAGTCAGTCAGTTGCAACGTAAAACTTCGTACGTATGTACATAAGTTCATGTTGCCATATCACACAAGCACAGAGACGTAGATGTCAAGTCAAATTCCATAGTGATAAAGATAGTAGAGGTATTAATGGTAATGAAGAAGACTATGGTTCGTAGATATTATTCAAGAAGTATAATTCAGTGAGTTAAGGTTAGAAAGACAAAGGTAGAGGAGGTGTTGACGAATCCAGAAGATTAGCATTTGAGAGAACACAAAGAATAAACTCACTTACGCCATTGCAAACGGTTTTGAGCCATGTCGTTCAAGGTCTCTAACCATTTGTGACTATCGTCTCACGGACCCCAACCAGGTAGTCTACATCTACCGACATGACTCAATTCACTTGTCAGTAACTTCATGGGTGTGTGCCATGTTTTGTTCTGGCCACCCCTAACTTTCTTCCAACCTACTCCTACACTTCAAAAGAAAGCTCTTCGAGGCAGTCGGTGGTTAGGCATTCCTAATACATGTCCCAACCACCTCAACTGATGAAGTTTTACTACTTTATCTATTGATTTGCTGTCCTTAAGTAGCACCCGATTCCTAATGACAGCATTTGCTTAAGTAATGGTCATATGAAAGAGAAAAAATGCACAGACACACATACACACACACTCAAAATTAAACAAAAATTGACTAACTTTTTTAAAGCATAACGCACTGTATCTTCATTATGACTAGCTATCATCACACTAATTTGACCAGTTGTTGTTGTTGTTCTACGTCGTTGTTTAATCGCTTTCATTACTTCTTCTAAACATAATTCATACATAGTTGTAGTAGCATTGAAATTTGCACAAATTGGATCTTCATAACCTAATTCTTTAGCACGTGCACGTTCCTACCATTTTTAGAATTAAAAAAAAAAGAAACTTTAAAAATTATTACTAAAAATAAAAATAAAAGAGGAACACTCTGTGTGTGCGTGTGTAGAAATGATGTTTTGTCAGTTTCATTGAAATAATCAAAATGTGACCAGTGAAGTACAATCCTATCGGGTGTCGGTAGATGATACCTACCGTAGACATTAGGTGGAGTTATGCGATACCTTGGATTGGTTAAAGTGCGACATTAATACCATTGAATGATGGTTCGACTCATGCAAGCGGAGGTCGTGGATGTGCACTGCTGATGAGTTCCATACTAGAACGAAACAGCTATCTAATGCTTCTAGTTTTCCAATGGTAGTCTAAAAATGATCAACTCATTATTTCAAACAGATTTGTTATTAATTAAACAAATATTAGGTACCTGTTCCTATGGTCAGTATAATACTAAATCTAAAAGACAGAAGTTAAATAGTGCGAAGCTAAACATCTCATAATGATGAAACATATTTTTCTCCTCTTAATAGCAATTAGCTTAAACTACTACGTTAATTTTTGTTGGTATGCATAATTTTAAACAATCAAAGTGATAAGTTAAAACTTCTTTCATGTACAACAAAGTTGAAATAAGTACATTGTCCGTTATCTGATTGATTGATTGATTGTGTGACTTTACTAACAAGATTTACTTGAACTAAATTGAATGAAGGTGAGACAAGCAATGAAAATTGGAAATACCGTGACATTGCCCTGATGAAGAATAACCACTGAAAAATCTACAACGAAACTCTGATTTATAACTAAATTTTTGAAAAAATGTCTATCATTACAAAGTATAATATACATCACCATTTTGGGATCTTTCTTGTAAAATGAAATATGATTGAGTATACATATTCTAATAGACTATTTTGAACGTTTTAATAAAAATGCCAACTGCACTCATTATTAGCAGGTGTGGCTAAGCAGTGGTATCCAGAAGGCACATTTTGTCCTATTTCGGACTCGTCAACTGGATGTAACTCCATCCCACTACACAAGCCAGTGGCTTTCTGGTCTCAGGAGTTAGATACAGACAAAGACAGGTTCAAGGTCAATAACAACCAATCAAGATTAAGGTTAACAGAACAAGTGATGGGTCATAATACATGGAGAAATTCGAATACTTCACTTCTACCTCGAAATGCAAAATGTTGCTTCAAGATTGGGTTTCATCGGCACCTGAACTAGTGATACGGAGTGAAGTAGTCGAACGTGTAGACCGCTTCACTTAACTCGGGAGTCTCATCAGTGCTGATGGCCTGGTGACTGACGAAATCTCAGCACGGATACAGAAGGCTCGATTGGCTTTTGCCAATCCGCGTCACTAATGGCGTAGGAGAGATATCCGTTTGCTGACTGACTAAAGGACGAGTGTACTGTGCAGTAAGTAGTTCGCTACGTCTTACTTTATGGCTGTGAGACATGGCCAGTGGAGAGTAGAAGATATTCGTAGGTTACTAGTTTTCGATCATAGGTGTCTTCGAAGCATTGCTCGAAGCATATCCTGGGACACCCGAGTGAGCAATGCTGTTATTAGGAATCGGGTGCTAGGTAAGGATGGAAGATCAATAGATGAAGTGGTGAAACGTCTTCAGTTGAGGTGCTTAGGATATGTGCCGCCTATGCCAAACTTCCGACAGCTCCACAACCTAAATATCCAACTAAGAAAACGAAACTCCACCACAAATGATATCTTTAAAGTTTTACGCATTGTTGACCTATTTTATTTTAAAAAAAAACTGTAATAGCGACTACAGAATTATTCATATCATTTCCTTAGTAAATCTGTGCAAATGAAATTTTATCTCAAGAACAAGTATTAAAAGAAATGAAGGTTTATCTGTGTGCGTGTGGGACTAAAGATTTAACTATTGTAAACAGATATCAGATAAAATCTAAAAATTCTAAGGTTTAACTTAATGGCAATGTCATGGATGTGCACACTGTTGATGTAATAACTGCCTGATTTTCAATGGGTACTTCAAATGAGATCAATCTTCAAAAAGAATACAGTCAGTCAGTCAGTCAGTCAGTCAATCAATTACAATGTAGAATTTCGTATGTACATACATCAATTTTAAGTTGTCATACTACATTAGCGAAAAAGAATACAACCTATAAGTTATAGTTTTAAGTTATTAGTTGAGTTCAAATTTTGATCGGGTTGATTAGTCATTTGATGTCTTCACAATTATTAGGGCTCATGAGCAGTAGTAGTTAGTACACTATGAAATAAATAATATACTTCAAGGTTTAGGGTTAGGCTTTTTAATTATGACAAATACTTGATAATAACTTGGTTTCAGTGATGGTAACAGTTAAATACATAAATATTTGTATCACGAATAGAGAGAAAGGTCATTTAAAAGTACAATGTTTGCTACATAACTTAACATGCCCAACCTTAATCAGGTTAATCACAAACTTTTCTTCTGTGCACTTATAAATATGTAAAAGGTCAACAGTACTACTATTTAAGGTAACTATTTCAAGGACGACCTTATATATGACTATATAATCAGATCTAAGATGTAATTGAAATGAAAAGGAATAACAATAACAAATTTACAAAACGATCAGAGTAGTATGACTCAGTTATCTAGGAACGAATTAGTTTAGTTAATTTCGAGTTACCGTTAAAATCTAAAAGACTAGTGATATTGATTAGTTTTTATTGACAGCGAACTAAATGGAAAACCAGGGGTGAACTTTCAAACTATTGACTATACCGAAGGTCCCGGTTTCGAATCATACGAGGAGCAGGAGATGCGTACTGCTGATGAGTATCATACTAGGATGAAACAGCCGTCCAGTGCTTCCAGGTTTCTAATAGTGGTCTAACAATGATTAATTGATGATTTCAAATGTGTAAAAACACAAACCTCCTAAAGTCTGCCCGAAAATATTGACTATAACTTTGACCAATCCACGGTGTTGCACAACCTCATTCATTGTCTTTAATGAGCACTGCTTTACATTCAAACAAGGTTGAACTACACTGGTTTTGACTTCTCACTAGAACTTGGAGAAATTTCTTCACGGAGCTAGCCACTATGGCTTAATCGAAGTTAGACATGAACAAGTTAGCGGTTGGTACTTCGTGTCGAAGGTGCTGTGTTTGAATCCTGCCAGTTGCAGGAGTCGTGGATGCACACTGTCACTGATAAGTCCCATACCAGGACGAAATAGCCGTCTAGTGCTTCCAAGTTTCTAATGATAGCCAAAACACTTATTGATCAGTGATTTTAAAAAAGTTTTTGACTATAAGTCAAACACCATTATCATTCAGTCTGCATTTCAGTTGGACTGGAATATGAAGACGTCGACATCTGGAGGGAAGCACGGTATCAAATGGACAGCCAGGATGTAGATGGATGATCTGGCTCTTTGATCGCACACGCAACAGCAAATTCAAGAGAAAACGACCAGTGTGGCAGCAGGTCTCAACATACATAAAAAGAAAAAGCGAAATTCTCCGATGCAACACAACATGCATCAACCAAATCACTCTTGATGGAGATGCCTTGGAGGACGTTAACACCTTTACATATCTGGGCAGCATCATCGACGAGAAAGATGGATCTGATGCAGATGTGAGGGCGCGAATCGGCAAAGAAAGGGCTGCATTTCTACATTTGAAAAATATCTGGAACTCCAAACAAATATCAGTCAACACCAAAATCAGGATTTTCAATACAAATGTCAAGACAGTCGCACTGTATGGAGAGGAAACTTGGCGAACTACCAAAGCGTCACGAGAAAAGTCTTCACATGGAACCCTCAAGGCACATTAAGCCGAGAAATAGAGACGGACATGAGAAGAATGAACAAAAATTATACAGGATTGGAAAGGGAAGTCCAGGACAGAGTTGGTTGGAGAAAACTGGTCGGTGGCCTATGCTCCATTGGGGGTAACAGGCGTAAGTAAGTAAGTAAGTAAGTAAGTAAGTGATTACTCACCTCTACCATTCCATATAATACAAACATGATAATAGTGATAAGTTGAAAAAAGTACGTGCAAAAAACAAATGCATTCATTAGTTCACCTGATCCATATAAGCTCCTCGGACTAATTTTGCACCGAAATAGAAATTTTCTGTAGCAGCATGATTTAAATCTTGACTAAGTGATTCAAGTGCTTCCTAATGAAATGAAATGAAAAAAAAGGATTAAAATTCTTACGTGAACTTTTATACAATATTCAAAACTTGTAAATATACATAGATATATAACAACATAGTGAGAGAAAGAGTGTGTGTGTGTGTGTGTGTTATTATGGGGGGAATCAGCTTACTTATTTCTTAAATCCACAGTATAACACTGATAATACGATACTGTAAGACTAGTTAGATAACCAAGTTTGTACTACCACTGAATCAGATACTCACTAACACAGAGATTAGATCATGTTAAAACCAGATACACAATTCACGATCAAAATAGCGAATCAGAATAAGGCAATAGATAATATTTTATTCCACATGATTGTAAGCAGTTACTCTTAGTGGACTTGGAGTAGAAATCAATAACAGAATAGGAAACCATATATTGAATAGCTAGTAGGCTACATGTCTGTTTGTCGACATCTTGTTCGCACTACTACACCTTAGAGAGAGAGATTTTCCATGGAGCAAAAGTGAATAATTGTTGATTGATTTAATGACCCAAATTTTTTACTGATGTTCATGACAAGCGACCTTTTTATAGGTCAGACTATCCAGTTTGGATATTTTATTACTGATATAACAGTACAGATTTATTAATAACATGAAAATACTAAATTCGTTAGCGGGTGATTCTCATTTATTGAACTATACTCAACTGGATAGGAGACACATTGTGGAAAGCACCAGAATGCAACACAAGACAAGCCTTTACTTAAAACCCCTCAAGGTCAAAAATAAAGTGGAAAGTCAATAACTGCAGACAGACATAAGAAGAATGAACAACCGTTGGATAGAACTGGAAAGGGAAGCTCAGGACAGAGTAAGTTGAAGAATACTAGTCGGCGGCTTATACTGCGTTGGAGGGTAACAGACATAGGCAAGTAGAAGGACTAGTATATCAGGGGATTACGTAATAAATAAACGCCAATAATAAGTAAGACTGAAAGTCAAATTACTTATCTAGGCGATGATTGAAATGAAAAAACAACAACACAGCAGTGTTGAATGGTTAAAAGATAGATTTAAACAAAATTTAATGAGGTTTAAAGGTTCTCAGATTGTGAAAATGAGAACAACACAGATATATAAGCGAACAATATTGTTGTTGTTTTCGATTAGATCGTCATCAGGTTGCTTTACTCTCTCGCTAATATACATGAATATTTATTGATATGAAAATGTTCTAACCAATCAAGGCAATTTGAGTCAATAATCATCACAATGAAATGAAA